TTTTCCTATGCAGGGTTGTACAGGAAGACAAAAAATAAATGTTGACCTGACATTATGGTAATTTTAACAAATTTCAAAGGCAATCATGAGAAAGTGTCAAACTGAAGGCATTCGCAAAAAATTTGTTTTTTGTTATTTTTTTTCTAATATCTGGCTTAAATTCTGCCAATGTCAAACAAACTTTCTTTGTACTTTGGAGACTTTTTGTTTAGCCACGATCGACACCCAACTGCCTAGCGGCACGAAACAAAGTTGAAGTGCCACTGTATGTGACCATTGCCAATAAACAGGGTAGCTTATATTCCAAAAATTGTAATATAAGTTTTAATTTGTTTTTGCACAAAATTACGTGGAGTATCTACAAACAAAATTAGTGCGTATATATCCGAACACGACATTACACTAAAAAAATATTTGCAGAGATAGCCATCTTAAATGACTGACGACAAAGATCCATAATTTAACCGTCATACTGCGTTCACGTTATTTATGCATGGTTACGTTTGGTTCCAAGTGGCAATTAATAAATATAATTTTACGAATGATGATGAATGAAGACTGGGAGAAGAAAAAAAAAAAAAACTATTCTCCACAAACGAGAAATCGATGGCGCCGCTGGAAGTTATGTAGTTGCGGCTTTAGGCGGAGACTTAAAAATATGTAGTTCCGGCTTTTGGAGGAGACTTAAATTGACATTTCTACTCAGCGGCTCACGTTACGATTTCCTGAATGGCAAAAAGTCATTCAATCGATTGCCACATGGAATAAAGCAGTAAAATGTGTAAGTATGCCTTGTATTTCCTTTACAATATTCGGTAATTGATAATTTTCTCTTCCAGAAACTAAAAAGGAATCGTGTGGATCTAAAAAGTTGCACAGTGGTCATTGGTAGATGCACAAAATCCAATGGCGCATCAAACAGTTGTATTGTCGATGGCGTGTGAAACGGACTCGCCGTTCTACGCTGCCGGAGCGGCAGATGGTAAAATTGTTTTTTGCACAAATCTGCGGAAATCTATGAAATGTGTTATAATCCACATGAAAACGTCTTGTCAACAGTATCGGGGGATCATCGAGCGAAAACCTTTAATATACCACAGCTGGGCGATTAATTGCTTTAGAGGCAATAATAATTCGCATTGGCTGTAATGTTGCAGCAAATTTTGCTAGCCGTACGGCAGGAAGTTACTCCGAGTTTGCGTCGCAAAATCTGTGAATTGGTTGCTGGGGTTGCTCGCAGTTTCACTGTCGAAGATGGCAAAAAAATCAAAATCAGCACATCTGGTGTTGGTGGCCAACTTACTATATGGGATCTCGAGAATGGACTCACTAATTCCATGAACAACTTAAAAATTGAAGCTTTACTGACAAATTGTATTCTACGTGTACTTTTGTTAAAATATATCGAATTTAATGATTCAATTTGTAATGATTTTAATTCATTACACAATTGCAAGTAGAAAACAAGAACAGTTGGCAGCCTGTGTGGATGTATGTACGACCGTGCATGCACACAGTAAGTTTCTTTGTACATACATAAATACCGACATGATGCCAGTTGGGTACCGTGTTTGCCTTTGCCACTGGTGGGCACAGTGATGTCATGATTTTGAACCATGTTGCTGCGATGGTTAAATAACACATTTTCGTGAGTAGTAAAGTGTGACCTTTTGGATTTTTAAAATATTAATTATTTGTAACTATCCTGCAACCCATTTTTTCAGAGTATTCTGCATTGTAAAGAAATTTTAAAGAACTCGCTAAGATTTAATTCGATTTTTTGCCGAATTTTCTAAAATGAAATAAACTACGTACACTTCCATTCTTTTACGAAACTTCGGAAGAAAATCTGTGAAGTAACGAAAACCATACTGCTATGTGAGGAATGTCTTAATCAAGAGCGATATGCAGTGGTTGTTGGGACATCATATATAATTATTTTGCACATGTGTATGAGAATATGTTTACGGGTGAGTGATGACCTTTATCAGTAAAGACAGCATAGGTACAGCCCTCAGGGTAAAAAAGTGTTCATAAACTTATTTATTTATTTTTCTGTTCATCCTTGAGGGCTGTAACCTACGCTACATATGTATGTATGTATAAAAACATCCCTTTTGTTATCACTGCCATATTTATTGTTTTCCAAGCTTTTATGCTACATGTCACAGTGGAATCTCGAAAATATATATTAAGTCGACCACTAAAAATCTTGAGTTCATTCGGGATTCATGATGTTTTAAGTAACATGTGAGATTAATTGAAGTTCGTATAGTGGTAATACGGTAACTAAGTTTCCCATTTTGCTATTATTGTATTATCGAGGTTTCACTGTGACAGAATTTCCTCGGTGACAGCTGCTTTATTTAATATGAAGCCTTTTGGTGTTTTTTTTTTGAAACTTCTCTTGAGGGATAGAAGTGGAATTGGTATGGGTACCGACGGAGTGGAATATTGATCGAGTTGGTGTCTCGTTGAGAAGGTTAGGTGATCACGTAAGGAGTAGAATCAAGAAGCGTTCGGTTGCTTTTCAATTCTCTCGTTGTACGGTGGGAGTAGGATAAGTTTTGCCAGCGGTCTTGTTACCTGACCCTTTCCTGTGGTGATGTCCACCACACGCACTCGGTTGTCGGAACCGGGCTGCAGGTTGATTACTCTGCCTAATCTCCATTCGTTAGGCGCTAAATTGTCCTCTCTTATAACGACGAGATCACCGATTTCCATATTCTGCTTTGGATTTTTTCCACTTAATTCGCTTCTGTAGTTCGGATAGGTATTCTGACTTCCATCGTCTGCAAAAGGTTTGATGTAAGGCCTTTAACTTCTGCCACCTATTTACCATGGAGGCTGGATTTTCATTTACATCTAATTCCGGAGGCGCGAGTAAATGACCGCCTATGAGGAAATGACCGGGAGTTAGAGGCTCCAAGTCCGTTGGCTCGTTCGATGAGGGACTTAAAGGTCGCGAGTTGAGACAAGACTCAACTCGGCATAATAAGGTACTGAGCTCCTCGAAGGTGTATTTGTGGTTGGATGCAATCTTTTTAAAGTGGTTTTTGAAACTTTTTACACCCGCCTCCCACAGTCCGCCCATGTGAGTAGCTGCTGGGGGTATAAAATGCCATGTAAGCGTTTGATGACTATATTTCGATACGGTTTTATCAGGCGCTTCTGCTATGAACGCCTTCATTTCAGATCGTAATGATCGAGAAGCTCCGACAAAATTGGTACCGTTGTCGGAGTAAATGTTTTTCGGACATCCTCTTCTACCAACAAACCTGGCGAATGTTGCCAGCAAGGATGGGGTGCTGAGATCGCTTGTCTCTTCCAAGTGAATGGCTTTAGTCGTAAAACAAACGAAAAGGCAAACGTAGCCTTTGGAAATGCGGCAACCGCGGCCGCGATAGCTCTTACTGTCAAAGGGCCTGGTAAAATCGACACCTGTGTTTGTAAACGCACGCGAGAACGTCGTGCGTTCTTTTGGTAGGTTTCCCATAAGTTGGGTTTGCGACCGTTTCTT